TTTGATCTTTTTTAACGCGATGGCTTCACGGTGGCCGCCCGATGGTCACCTCGGCTTTCCACACCGTGAATTCGCCGTTCTTGGCCGAAATTTAAGGCGTCACGGTGCATTACACATGGAAATTCCCCTCGCGAGCACGCAACGAAAGGCAAATTCGAAAAGAGACTCGCGACAATAAGTCAGTCCTGAAACCTCTGTTGATTCGTAACGTTTCCTAGCGTCGCGCCATCATGTTTTATCGCGACCGAGAAATTGTTGAGAGTCTTTATACGTTTAATTTCAAAGTTTTTCCATTAAGAACTTTATTAAAATTCATTAAAGTATTCACGACACTTGTTAAGCAGTGTACAAAGAGTCTTATCAAGAGTTAGAAAACTCGCCTAGCATCGGATTTAGATCCAAATAAGGGTCTGACCTGGCGCAAACTAGGACGCAATGTGCACTCGATGCACCAACAGGCGCATATAAAACTGCAATAAAACGCGACAGACTTTACGCGTCGACGGATGGCGCAAGGTGGTGACCGAAAGACGGAGACGAGGTAATTCTCCAAAGGATATGGAAATGTTATGGAAAAGAGCTTAAACGGCGTTTCCGCGTGCTCCCGCACATGTGGAAACGATTCGATCGTCGCGTCACGGTGGTCGAAAACCGCAGATGCGGTTTCACGCGACCCTTCCTCTCGCGTTACAGAACGTTGGACATTCACCAGGCCCCACGACAACGTGGCCCCGAGACCTCTCACGAACTAGAGCTCGAATCGCTCTCGAAGTTGCGGTGATCGAAAAAACACGCATTTCGAAAGGACACACTTGCTTCGCAAATCAAGTTCCGAAGTTTCCGCGACAAAATGTGACGTGGAGAATTTTATTTTATTTTGATGTTGAAAGAATTTGATAAAAGTTTCGCTGATTGATATTTACCACGATAAAAAATATTAATATGTACATAGTAAAATTAATCGAACATATTTTATTGGTGGTAAATATTAATATTTTTATTGTGATAAATGCATTAATCAGAGAAACTCTTGTAAAATTCTTCCAATACCATATTTTCTCATAACTTATTTCAGGATAAATTCTAAGAGAAAATTCTCTCTGTGTCTAATTAAAGCATATATATATATCAAGGGAAGAGGGACAAATTTAAATTCTTATAAAGTATAATATTCAAGAAAACTAAAATTTTTCTGAAGAAATCCATTCGTTAACAAAATCAAAGAAATTGAAGATCAATAGTATTAATTCTGCAACTTTTAGTACAAAGAATATTTTATAAGAATTAAATTTCGCGAAGAGGGTAATAAAAAGAACTTAATATACTTTTACTATTTTCACATTGAAAAAAAGCTGCGAGGAATTCGACTTTCCCGAGAGAGCGAATCCTATCAATTCTCCTCTTAATCCGTCCATTTTTCACGAACCTCCGCATTGTGACAGATTTATGTCTCCGTATGACCTGTTTATACCCTCTTGTGTCCCCGAGTTCAGCGTTTGCGACTATAAACGCCAAGATTTCTCGAGATCCCTTCGCGATCCTCAGGCGAAAGCTCGCGTCGAGCGGAAAGACGGCCGAGAACTACGGGCGAACAAAAGTGCCGGACGACGCGACGCGACGACGGGATGTCATCGCCGCGCCGCGAGAAAACGCTCTTCAGGCCCGCCTAATAATTCTCGGCGGGCGACGCCGCGACGTGTACGTGTCACGGCGTCGCGACGCGCCCGTCCGTCTTGCCGCGGCTGGAACAACGCGAGAAGACTCGCGGATTTATCTCTCTTTTTCGGGAAAACACGACGAATAACTCCGAACGTCGAAAACGGAGGGATTCCGCTCGAAGAACCGAGAATCTCTCGAGCGATTTGGCGCATTGAGGAATCCGCATACCGGCGATCTCAATAGAGATGAGAGTAATGCTATTGTTGTGTCAGTGAAGATATGCGCTCCTGCTTTCCGCGAATCTTTTAAGAAGATATTAATATTTCAACGATTCAATGAGGAAATGGAAAATGTGTATGAAAGATCAAAATTAAAGCGATTGCTTTGATGTAAAAATATTTAAAATACTTTTCATTCGTGTCATAAATAACTTATAATGTTAATTCATTATTTTATTGAAGAATGTAGAATTTTAAATCATATATAAACTCAGACAATATTAGAAAAATTGCTTTTAAGTGCATTTAAATATAATTAATCACAATCGAATTAATATGCAATTTGAGCAATTTTTGTTAAATAAATAAATAAAATCATCTATCTTAAAAATATATAGGAAGTCATCTGATACCTTTTATGACATATAAAACATTATTTTTAAATTATAACAAAATTACTTGCGCTTTTTGTGAAAAATGGGCGCAACTTGAGATAATATACGCAAAAAATTACGGATTCCATTTTATTCATCGAAAGCAGGCAAAATTGCTGTAGGTGGTATAAAGTGTTTATAATTGCTGATCGCGTGTCCCTTTGCGGTTTATTATCGTCAAAATAATTCAAGCTTTAAACGGCTTTCGAAAATGCCCGACGGACGTTTTATTGGGCCGGAATAGCGAGAGAGAGAGAGTCCCACAGAGAACTCGTAAAAGCCTCATATAAATAAAATTGCAGGCGGAATAATTATTGCGTGTTTATCCACGCGTGTCATCCGATGTCGTTTGCATCTCCCATAGGATGATTTCGAAAGCATGCCCGTTTTAAAGAGAATAAATTTGCAGTTGCGTGAATGCTTGATCGCCATCATTCAAATAATCGCTTCATTTTTCGTACTATATCAATATTAAATTTCTATCAAGTTGTTAAAAATTATATGCTGATAATAAATACGCACATTCCATTTCTGTTGAAGTTTAACTAAAAATCCTCGAGGAACTTGAGTTCTTATTTTTTATTCCTATTTGTTACTAAATAATTACATTATTTCCTAGCATGTTATCCATTATATTTGACATTGAAGCTGTCGCTGTTCTTTGTTCGTCCATTAATGTCGAGAAAAAGAGTGCAACTTTGCGACATCCCTTATAGCGCGGTCAGCTGTCGGCACTCTGTCGTCCGGCTTTTAACGCACTTTCGTCCGTTTTGTGTCATAAAATTACCATCACTACTCCTCTTACTACTTTTTCTACGTTTTGACGCTGCAAAGAAAATGCTACAAAGAGCGCAGCTATGCGCGATTTGCTCGACATCACGTTCGCGCATTCTAATTTTATAATCAAGAGCATTAATTTCACACTTAAACTATATTATTTCTCTTTTTGTACCATTTCTCGAATTTATTTCCCGCTTCTTCATACAGCAACAAATTCTTTCGATCGATGATTGAAGTAGATGTGTCGCTGAGAAAATAAACTATAAATTGAGATATATAAATGTATGTATATCTATTTATCCGTCAATATCTTTTTCCATTTGAAAGTGTTTCGCTCGTGGAAAGAGAGGTTTCAAAACACTACAGCACTATAAAAGATCCTAAAAATATTTTTACTGTGTCATAAAGTTTCTCCCGCTGGCGCAATCTCACCTCAACTCGCGACTATACTTTCGAAAAGTCGTTTCGGAATTTGGCATGTTGATCGAAGTAGTATCTAGAAGAGGGAATAAAACTTCTCAGGACTCGCTATTTGATATTCTATATTGATCTCGTATCGAGAACTACATAAATCATCGGAGTAAATAATGTTTGGGGTGCAGCGACGGATTATGAGAGGGATCAGGACCAATCTTTACCCAGCTCACGATCCAAGGATGGCTTTTATATATTTTTTTTTCGAAGAGTACACATTTTTTTGCGATTGTAATATTTATATACCTATTGATCTGTTTTCCTAGTCACAACATTAATCACGTGCCTTCCCGTTTCGATTTTTCATCAAAGAATTATGAGCTTTTATTCTTTGTCATCCATTCAATAAATAAAAAAATAAGTTGTCTGATGCGAGACAAAATTTATGCCGATCGAACCTTTTTTACCTGAAACATCAATTTTTCAATATGTGAACTCTAAAGAGTGGAAACAGTATTTATATATATATTGATCAAGCGTGAATTATTGTATATTGATCAAAATTTAAGCAACGTTTAAGGGAGTCGAATAAAATTAATCGAAAATTGAAAAATTGCTAAAGAAATATCTGACAATTAAATTTTTTTTATATTTTAACTCTACTCTAAAAAAATAAAAATACGAAGCAGAACATCATGATCTCTTCCAGTAATACATTCGCGCAAAAATATCTTCATTAATATTTAATTATTTACTCAAGAAAATTTTTTCAATAAAGAAAGATTTTTCAATTAAAATGATAAAAATTGAAGGCAGAAACTATTGCTAAAAATCGGGAAAAATAATAAGATCTTCTACTCAACATTTATTATTTCCGGATCATTTTGGATGACCCGATGTTATATATTGAACATTGTGAAGGATACATGACACCCTTGTGAAACGAGATACCAACCGCCAGAGGAGAAGGATGAAAAGAAGAAAGATGATGAAGAAGATCTGTGTTCTGGGTTTATAAAGATTGCTGTTGGAACCATGTCCTTGAAAACGGAAACCACCATGGAAACGCCGGCGCCTATACGTCATCGCTAACGGGTAATTTTTCATTAAAACGTTAACGAGGCGCATCCCCACGTGATTTACTCGTTTCTCCAGTACATCGTTCTGTCAAACTTCCGTGAGAGTTAATTAAATTTCCGTTGCATGAACACTCGACTTATTAAGCTTAATCTTGTTTTTCTAAGTAATTTTGATCTTAAATTGTACTTTATCCCTTTGATTTTCAACATCTCATTAAAGTAACGTTTTTTGTCATAATTTTTGCAATTTTTTCTTAAAAAAAATCTTGTGTGCTCTACATTCAACCGTCATGCAAACCCGCGTAAAACATGTTGCATTAGACCAACTTTGACAAAAATAAATCGATTGCCTCATCGCGCTCTCGGATGCATCGCCTCGCGGCGCATTTTCATAAAAGCGCGTGCACATACGTTCTTCCGCCTCTAAAACTCCTAGTTTGCGTAGCAAGGGAAATCATTTAGAAACCAATGAGCTTCTAATGAAGGTGGAGCTTGCGACGAAAATCTCCACCTACTCTTAAAACGCTCTATTTCCCTCTGCTTGCCCGCGAAGAGCGACAGCACGAACCGGGAGAAGATTGAAGAGAACGCAAGACGAGAGATGAGAAGATGAGGGAACGAGAGAGACGGAGATGTAGAAGCAGATGAGGACCTTTAAGTACGTCTTAACTCGGCCAAGTCAGTTGGCATCTCGCCGCTCCGAGCAAAATGATGCCTTCGTGTTCGAGCGCGATCCCGCGATCAACCATCTCGATCAGCGACACTTAATAACGTTCCTGTGATTTCAACAAAAAAATTATAAACCTTGAAGTTACATCTTACCTACGCTTAACGCAAACTTAAGATTGTGTCAACGTGTATCAATTTTTCGAGGCTGCGAGTGAATGGAGAACTTTTGCCAAAATCGGTTTATGAAATAAAAATTGGACAGCGGAAGTTGAATAAGAAGGTGGACGAATAAAAGTTTTGGGAGATATCAGGTATGTCAGGTTTTACACTAAAAGTTGGGAAACATAAGATGTGACTAACAAACTTGATCGATAAAAATTGCAAGAATATGATCACTGATTAACCATCAATTTAAAAATTAAATTATATCAAAGATTTAATATATCTCGTCTTTGTTCGTGATAATAAAAACAAAATAAATTGTAATTTTTTCTTTAAATGTACACAGAGAGAATGTCTCTTAGAATTTACTCATGGTAATCGTGGGACAATATGGTATTGGAAGAATTTTATGAGTTTCTCTGATTAAAATGTTTAGCAGAATAAAAAATATTAATAGTTTTTATTGTGGTAAATATTTAATCAGAGAAATTCTGATTAAATTTTTACAATACCATATTGTTCCATGATTTTCAGAGTAAACTCCAAGAGAAAATTCTCTCCGTTTTACTATGTATTTTCATAGTTTTATATCTTAATTAAATATCGAACATTAATATAAACTACATAGAATGTAATACCATCATCAGTTAAAAATTTATACGCGGTCGTCGGTGATCAAAACTAAGGTGATTGAATCATAACTGTTGTCGTGCGATAAAATGCCAATTGACGGGTGCCGCAATGTAAGAGTTAATAAGCTTAATCGACACTCGATAAAAAACAATTGTCTCAGTCATTGGTGACCAACATAAAATAAAAAATCAATGAATTGCTTAAAAAATTTAACTATACACATGCATTTATATATATTTAGATGCATAATTATTTGCATGTGTTGTTTAATTAACCTTAAAAATATGTATAATTAAATTTAATTACATCATCAATAATTATTAGCAAAAAATAAAAAAGTAAAAGATACAATCGCAAAAAGAATTATCGGAGACGGATTTTAATCGGAGAGATATTTTAAATAAAGATTGAAGCTGTATATATATATTATATATATATATATATATATATATATATATTTATATAATTTATAATTAAACGATTTTTTCTCATCACAAAAAATCATTATTTTAATTATTATTAGCGCTCTGAAATTTAAGATGCAAGTCCGGAGACCGGAAGCACATGACAAATCTTAATTGAATCGGAATGCGTGTGCGGATCTTGGCAATCAATGTGCTCATAAATATCAGAATTAACATATTTTGTGACAGCGGAAATCTCCATTACAAATTAATTTTATCGGTCGTGTATGATAAATCGAAAATTAGTGGATGAACGTGTATTATGCATGCATGTGAAATTACGCGATAAGTGCGATAAAAGTGTGCAGCTATTATTTAAAAATAATTTCTTAGGAGATAATTCAATCCAAATTATCACTCTTGCAATTAAAAAATTATGACAAAAATAATGTTAGAATTTACATAAATTTTTATTACGATTACAGTCTTTTTTAAATTAATTTCTTTACAAAATCTAACAAATATTTCTTGTAAAAAAATATTATACATGTATATATAAAAGTGTAATTTTTAATAAGATAAAAATTCGAATTTTGAAATGTATAATTTGTTAATACTTTATGAGGGTATTTTATTGGCAAAAAATTTTTATAAAGTAAAAAGTGCCATCTTTTAATTTATTATACTTAATCTCTTCTGCTTCTAATAAGTATTTTATAATCATTAAAATTAAAGAACGCCTTCTTCAATTACATTTACTTATTTCCATTATTTATTGGCAACTTTGGAAGAGACAGAGAGAGAGAAAGAGAGAGATTTTCTCATATATCTTCTATTATAATTTGAAATCACTGAAAGGTACTTAAATTGCCAAGAATATATTTCATCGTGGAAACGGCATTAAATTATGTAGCTTATCAACAACACTTGCATTAGTATATTGGAGTCTGTTAAATTTTGAGAGACACATAAAGAGAATTATCACAGTTTGCACAGTTAGGTATACGAGCAAAGTATGAACGAGTTTCAGTCTACGAACACATTTTGCGACCGCTGGCACGTGGCCCTAATTGCACCGTCATGCTCGAGCTCGGAAATGCTTTAATTAACATTGCCCGAGACAAATTACGCATAAACGAGCACTGGTTGCAGTATCTCTCTCGCGCCACCGTAAATAATTGTCTTTTAATGATCGCATCTGTTGAATCGATGAAACGTTTTTATATTTATGAAATGATTCATAAATTTATTATATATAATAAAACAATCTAAAACAACTTTTTTTCATTTTAAATAATTAATCTCTTATCACTGGAAAGTATATGCTTATATTAAAATATGTTCGTAATAATTAGATAATTCGATTTATAATTAGATAATTAAATTTTGATTATTAGATTTATGTGTAAAAGTGTTAATTTTAATAAGTTGCTTTTTAATGAATTTGGCAGTAAACCATTATCATTATTACATCATTTACATCATTACATATACATATACTTCTGCCTTGATCAAAATATATGAATAGATTTAGGTTGCAATATCTTGCATTTCTATTTAGCGCCGCACTTAGTGCTAAATGCAGACATCCAATTCGGAATTTTAATCGATATGAAAATTGCGTTCAGGGTCAACGTGAAATAAATAGAATAGCCAGATGTAAATGTCTAACAAGAATATAAATGACAAGCCAATTTACCCAAAAAATGTTGCAATGAAACATATAAGCGTATTTCATAATTTGGATATCACGCTTTAAAGACAAAAAAGAAAGGACAGAAAATTATAAATCATAATTTTTTAAATGCAATATAATAATTATATTATTAGAGATTGTAAGAAATTAAAGAGTTATTGTGTTAATATATGAGTATATATTAACAATTAATTATACTAAATTATAATCAGCAGATGATACGCTTGTAGAGAAATTTAAAAAATTTAGCGATTCTCAGAAATAATATACGTCAGTAAATAATAAATACATTATTAGGAATTAATTGATAATTATATAATCATAACTTATTTTCTGTTTCTTCGCAAAAATACATATAATAAATAAATAGAAACTGCATTTTAGAATTCGAAAATATCGTAATAGTTGTTAAGATCTTTCCTTAATGCTAAATCTATCAATTGATTGAATTATTATACATGTCTCATTGAAAATGAATGTGTCTTCATAGAATGTCTATACTTTACCTGTGTGCGCACGTGGATACTCGTGTCGCGTCTTTCACAATATTTACATCGTAAATCTGCTATTTGACTTATAATATAGTTTAAAATAGAACGATACAAACGTCCGTTGCACGACATGTACACGTTTCAGCTTCATCTCTCACACATATTCTCACCGGCATTCGCGCAAATTGGCTCGTCCCCTCAGACTTCTCATATTTTGAATTTCTCTACTACAATTCCAAGCTTTGCTAATATTAAGTTTCTGGCTGATATTTTGAGATCGTGGCTGAATAATCATGTCGCGTGAAATTAAACCGCGAGTCTAGTCGCGACTTCGTTTCTCAGACTGCATGCACGTTTTGATCAGAGTGCAAAGTATCTTCATTATTAATATTTGAGAGAAGAGAGAATAATTGATGTAAAGTCAATAGCAAGCGATTTAATTTTATATTATTATATATACGTGAGAATCTAAAAGCTACATAGTTACGTTTGCTTATCAATATGTTACAAAGTTATTCCTTCTCTCGCAGGTGAGACTTCATTTCGTGAATCAAGATGATGCTCGCGCGTTGACGCGGCTGACGATATAAATAGGCAAGAGGAGGATGTTAAAAAATTAAGAGTCCCTCGCCAAAAAAAAGCGGAGATGGCAATGAAATCGTATTGATTATCATGCCGGTGTGAGGGAAAGTGCGAGGAAAAAAAAGGAAAAATGTTGGACGCGATGGATGCGGAGCAAAGCGCGAACAACGGCGTGATAGTGTCACAGCTCACGAGTTCGCATACCCCACAGGATTTCACGGTCTCTCGTCTGCTATCCACGTCTACGCAATCCTTAGGTAAGGACTCGATAACGTTATGTCATTATAAAATGGCACGTATCATTTAAATACTTGGAACATCAGCTAAAGTCAGAAACAGGCCTCAAAAAATGAAAGATTGCTGTCACGTTCATTTTTTAGTTTTAATTCTTCAATGTTTTTATTTTTGATAGTGTTTATTTAATATTATATATAAACATTCAAATAATTTTTTTTTAAATAACATAATGGAAAAATTGTGTAAGTTTTCAAAGGCTAATTATCTTATTATATACTTTTATTATAATTATCTGATTTCATTCATCTTAATAATGAAGCCTAAGGATTCTAATGAAAATTTTTTAAGATTTTTCAGAATTGCAAAAAGATCTCATTCGCTTGCAAGTAAAAAAATCGTAAGCCTTTTATTTTCGCTAATTATTCGAAAATTCATGCCTGACTCTATCACTGAGGAAAAATCAATTTAAATTATTTAAAGAAAATCTGATAGTACGGGAGCCAAAACAATTCATGTCATGTAGCAGGTGGTGACAAAAAATTAAAATATAGTATACATAGAATGTCTTTTTATTTAATTACTTTTAAGTATTTTGTAGTGACAACAATTTTAATTATTTTAAGTATAATTTATTGACAAATTCTGTGATTCTTTTCTCGAGGGAACGAGTTTCTTTTATAATCTTTTATTAATATTATAATATGCCTTAAGAGATAAATGTGACAAAAATGGTTTTCCATTTTTTAATATATTACTATTACTTTATAATTAAAAAATTTCATTATAATTTATACATTATTTAGATGTAATTTGATCATAATTTACGTTGCGTGGAAAATGTATGATATGCACTAGTATGAGAACATATAGTATCTATAGCGGATGATTTCATCTCGCACCAGTACACGGTTTAATCCGCGATTCACGACGCACTTGATTTCATCAAAATCACGCATTTCCAGTCATGCTGCTCGCATTATGCCGCTTTGATGAATGCTCAAGTATAGTGGAGCCATTCAAAGAATGGCCGACTGTAGCCGATCCGCGTGCGCGTATGTTTTTTTCTCTTTTTTTTTAGTATAGACCGCCTGCAAACAGCATATTCGAGACCCGGATTTCGACGTGGGGCAGATCGTCAGGAAAGTAAATTCGCATTCTTCTCGCGAAGCGTTTTTGCACGCGGAAAGTACATAATTTTTACAATTAAAGAAAATTGACGTTTCTTCCGTAAAATAACATTTCTTATGTCGAAATTATTTTTTTATCCAAAATTATGGTCGAAGAAGAAATCTTTCCAATATAATTTCGAAAAAAGAACTGACAGCATATCCGAAGGACGTTCAGAGGACATCCAACATCCTTTGGATGTCCTCCGAATATGTGTGCTGTTAAGAAGGAAATTTTACATAGTCATTACGAAATTAACTACGCAAATTGTCACTGATAATTGTTGATTGTTACTTACGTTTCGTAGATTGCAGCGAAACCTCTACTGCTGGAAACAGAAGACCCAGGAGGAGCAGGACGACCTTCTCGGCGCAACAGTTGGCCGCGTTGGAGAGGGTGTTCGAGAAGACGCATTATCCGGATGCCTTCGTTCGCGAGGAACTGGCGACCAGGGTGTCTCTGTCGGAGGCTAGAGTGCAGGTAACTTTATATACTCTTTTTTTTAAATATTGTAATTAGAGAAAATAAATGTTTTATTTTAGAAACTTATTTATAACTAGTATAAGTTCGGCGAAAATCTAGAATCTTTCCGGAAAGATATATTTAGAAAAATAATTAATTTTTCCTTTACCTATTTTTTAATTTTATTTTCAGCATACTCATGTTAAAGTTTAGAATAATCATTAAACAAATCAAAACCTAACTTACGTCAATCTATTCTAATATTCGTAATTCTCCGAAATGTATAAATGCTTGTTATTTGAGCTGATCTTCTTTATAAATTATAATTTTATTTTATGAGCCAATAAAAGGAGCTCTCGAATAAATTCAATAAGATATCTGACATTCTGGCTTCTTCGCGTGCAATTTATGCCATTTGCAATTTACTTATCGTTTTAGAATCTAAAGTTATAATTAGAAGTGAAAGGAAAGCGATATATATCGCTGCTTGTCCCGAGCAATATATAATGCGATTAAAAACCGGAAATACATTATAATAAACAGAAATAGAGGGTCGAATTAAAATACATCGAGAGAGCATCATTCTCGATGACGTTCCACTCCGGGCAACGATGACGGAACGTGGCAAAACGATAAACCGTCTTGTAGACGCACAGCAACCAGCCAGCCAACCGATTCACCCAGAGCAAGCGGATTGCTTTGAAGCCATCTTCCACTCGGTAACCGAGAAGATTAGCCATCCGAGAAAGTATCACGACGTGCACATGTGTTCTTGTACCAAACGCAGCGTCAGTAATACAAGAGGGAAAAGGAGGCTGAAGAGGAAGAGACGGAAGGTGGCGGTTGCGGACAGCTAGGCAGAAAATCGGAGGAGACAGGTTGTCAGGGCAAAAAGAGAGGACAGACAGCAAAAGAGAGACAGAGAGAGAAAAGCTATGATTAGCCGACGCGCATCTCCAGCATCTGCGCGATCCCCGCGACACGTGTGCATCGAGCACGTGTGCGCATCATCGTTGCCGTCGCCGCCGTCGTCGTCGTCGTCGTCATCCATGCCGTTCTTACACGCGTCTGTGTCTATCTGTCCGTACGTCTGCCAGGAGCCGTCACGCTGTCCCGTCTACGGTCCTCTTTCGTTCCCCGCTGCTCTGCCATCCTCCTGTTTCTCTCTCGGATACGTAGATTCTTAGAGTAACGCGAGAACACACGAACAGCATTGATCCGTCCGAGATTTTTCACTGAAAAAGATGTATCATATAGGAAGCGTGTCCTTTGAATTGGATTTATTTATCTTGATTTAAAGCGATGTCAGATGAGGAGCATTTGATATACTTGGATACGCTTCTCGGATTCGTAGAGATTTTTCGTTCAAATTCCTAAAAGCCGGCACGGTCCTTTGAATCAGATTTATTTGTTATATAATCTGGCCTTCAGTTCGTAGAATTCAATTTGAGAGGTCGAAAGAAACTCGATACAGGAAGCACACTGTGTGTGAGAGAGAAGCTGAAATAGTAAATACACGTAAAACTTAAGAGAATACAGATCGCTTTTAAGTACTTTAGATAATGAGATATAATAAAAAGCAGATTGTTCGTCGAGAAAATATTTCTGGAAGAAACACGCGTCCTTTGAATCAATTAAACGAATTAATTTATTGCGCTAATTTAATTAAACGCATTGATTTTCACAATTTTGGCAAAGACCACAATAAGTCACACGATAACTCTTAATCTAAAAAAATTAATTATTCACGTCGTATAACATCTTAATCTTTTACCGAGAGAAATGAAACTGTAATATCCAAGATATTAAAAACTCCAATTTTTATTTTTCCATCGATTCTATTGTTCCATCAACATCTATTGTTCCAGCTGGAAACAAGGAGACATGATTATTCTATCTATATGCCGTTTCATTACAATCTCTGTTTCTCAATCAATCGCAAAATATTCATCCACAAAAATCGACAGCAAGAGTCTTTTTTCTCTTCTGCGTAGGTGTGGTTCCAGAACAGACGGGCGAAGTTCCGGCGAAACGAGCGGAGTTCGGCGATGAGCCGCGGCGTTTCCGCGGGCAGAGAGATGGAGGCCGCGTTACCCCTGCGTCCCATCAGGGTGTCGCATCCTGCGCAGCACAACGCGGAGAACAGTACGTCGGAGTCGTCGCAGAGTACGTCGCAGATCACTCAGGTAACGGCCCAGTATTCTTACGGCGATTATTGGAGAACGGCGCCACAGCATTACGCGGCGATGCAGACCGCGGCGAGCTGTCACGGCTTCGCCGCGAACGGCGGTCTGGCGAACGTGAGTCTGCCGCCGTACCACCATCACCATCACCACCATCATCATCAGGCCGACATCCACCACGGATCCCTCGACGGGCCCACCGTGAACGGCCTGAACGCTCTGAGACTGCGAACGCATCCCTACGGCTCCACGTATCCGGCGATGCACGCGAGTATGTGATACATTCGCAGAAATCGAATCTGCGGAGTGTGCTTCGCAGTCTCATCCAACGCGATGCGACGAGGAACATTCATCCTGGTGGTCCTGGATGTTGAAATGTAGAAATCAACCAAAGATAATATTTCGATGGCAAAAATAAATTTAAGATTGCGACCAGAGGTGAGTTGGGGAAACCCAAGGATGCTAACGTCTCGGGCATCTCGGATTTTTAAGATGCAAAGGTGATAATACAAAATATTCTGCAGATTATCGCTGTAAAAACGTTCAACGTTGATGCCTTAACCAATGATGATCATTAGATAATGATTAGATTAAGTTTTAAACTATAAGTTCTGAACACACAGGGTAACGAATAAATAAGTCATCTTCTTTTTTTTCCCGTTGATAGAATAGCAATGTTAAGTTACGAGAAAGTATATTAATATCATAATTAAACGTAAGTACAATAGAACTTTATTCTACAAAATTACGGCCTTATAGATATGTAGACGGTATAGACAAACACTGTCGTGTGCAATAAAAACATTGAGATCGGAGAACGTTTTTTCAGGTATGTCTTCTTATATATATATATAATAAAAAAAGTACAACACCGTACAGATATACGTAACAAATACATGTATATATGTACACATATCGAAATATATTGGCACAGGATTAGAATACAGTCAACCGGCGTACATATTGGTCCGCGTCTGTTTCAATCTTAAAATCCATTATTCTCAACTCTTAGCAAGTATATGGATTTTTTAAACGGGATCGTAAAACCTTTATCATAATTAAAAATAAAATACAGATAACAAATTATTATACACATAAAAAAGAAAGTGATACGTGATTAAAATTATTTATAAATTTTTTAATTTTGACGATTTTTCTCTATAGAAGCATTTAAATTTAAATTCTAAAATTAGTATAATATAATTTTTACTAATTTATTATTTTAAATTCTAAAGTGTCTAACAAAATTTATAATAAACTTGCTGAAGAATTGAAGATCAAATATTATCAATATCTATTTTAACCATCTATCTTGTGGACCATATAACGTCATAACTTATAAAAACCATTCAAAAAATGTCAAAAAGATATCTAAAAGCGCAAAAAAAATTATAACATTTATTAGGCGCCTATTCGATATCTTCATGACATGCTTTGGTGATTCGTATTGCCATGATGAGTATTTAGAAATACTTCCGAAAATCTTTGAAACATTTCATTGAGTATTCGAGTAGACCAAGATCGATTATTGAATCTCTTCATGTATCAATACTATACCGTCACTTGCACGTTCTGTACAACATTACTCCAGTCGAGCTTGGAAGGTACCAAATAGAAAGCCGGCGCGATCTTGCTACCGCAGGGACACTGGCTCCCAGAGATCCAGCTGTACGAGCCGAGCTTCGTGTTGCATTGCGGACAATTCAACTTGCCTTCGACGGTGTGCGTGATGTCGGGCATCCAAGCCAAAGGTTCCACGAAGTAGATCTTGTTACAAAACTCAACTCGCGTCTGCTCTTCCTTCTTCAACACTGGTTTATCACAGTTCTCGACGTCCTTCGGATTCTTAATGCTGATGTGTCGCCAGATCTGTTTCTCATGTGGCACGTGAGGTAGAACATTACTAGCGCTTGCCACTATGCGGCGACATTTCTTGCATCGATAAACCGATGGTTCAGGCCGCACTGTTGTCAGGGCAGGATCTGGTTTCACCAAGTCGATGCAGCTCTGAGGAAGAATGCGAGCCTTGCGCACCATGTCGGCGGCGATTTGTAAGCGATACATCTTGAATTTCACGTTGGTGCTGTCCACGCCGTAGCCCATGTCCTCGTAGAGTCTCAGCTGTGCCATGAAGCCAAGATTTGGCTCGACGAATCGTCGTTTCGACTTCACCACCTGGAAGGCGTCCGCGAAGCTCAGCTCGCGCTTCTTCATTATGTATGCGATCACTATGGTAGCGGATCGAGACACTCCAAAGTAACAGTGCACCAGCACTCTGCCATTGGACTCGAGGGCGCGGTCGATGAACTCGTAGGAATCTTCAAAATGCGTTAAGAGATCCTCTCGCGGCATATCCGTCACCTGAATATATTTAGTGGCTAAATTGGGGAGACGTTCCTGGATCTTTCTTGGCAATGGACAGGAATCTACTGTCAGTATGTGAGTCATTTCAACTTCTTTCAGCCAGTCGACGTCTGTCGCGGCCGTAAGATTACCCAGGAACAAGCCTGGCTCGATCTCGTCGAAGCTGCACGGACCAGCATAAAAATCTTCCACTGTCAACTTTGTCGCATTGTTCTGCGCCATTCTCAGCACTCTGTAATTATATGTAAAGCTGTAGCATTCAAATATAATTTTAGAATTAAAATCATATATCTATTCCCTTTTCTTTTCTTTAATAATTGTATATATTGTAAGGTGTATATATATATATATATATATATATATGTGTATAATATAAATATATTGTAAAGCTCAAGAATTATAAAATTAGAGTACGCAACTTGCATTAAGCAGAAGAAGACAATAAGCATTACAATAATTGACTGTCCAGTGAGGAAGGCAATATAAAGTGACACAAATGAATAATATAAAGTATAAATTAAACTTGCCTGGACGAAGAAAGGGTTATCCTTGTCAACAAAAACACATGAGCAGATCTACATTAAAGGCCGCCGAATCTACTTTGGGGAGATATGCCTTTTTATATAGAAAACAATTTATAATGTATCATTCTTATTGAAACAAAAAAATAACAAGACAATTTTTATATAATTTACACATTCTATACACATTCAGTCTATTGTCAGGCCGCGTCTCGCGCATGCGCATGTTCGACGAGCGCGATATCAATAAAGCATTCCTAAGATTATAAACATACAAGAGGGGAGCCATTAATTATATAACACGCACATCAAAGAATATTATATATTGCAAATTAATTTCATAATTTAATTACGAAATTAAAGAAATGTCATTTCTAATAATAAAAGGTTCATAGAATTTGAAGGAAGATTCACGTCATTTTTTAATTTTACAAAATTTACGTCCAGTCGACCATCTATGACAGCACTTGATCTATGCCTGGACTTGGATGACGTCACGCTCTCCTTCGACGTGCTGTGCATGCGGACAAAGTGAGGTTACATTAGGCGTATGACTAGCTGAGGCACGTTTAGGGTGTGCAGGGACAAGAAGTGTCATCGGCGAGCGATGTCGAGCAAAACCAAGAGCAACAAGCAGCGACACAACCAGGAGGAAGACAGGAACGAGGAGGCGATCGAAAATGGGGCGACCGAAGACGCAGAAATCGCAAAGAAAATCGCGGACGTCGAGCTCAACGAGGACACGCCGAGCAAGAAGCTTACGCACAAGGAGAAGAAGAAGTTGAAGAAGCAGCAGGAGTATGAGCGGACGATGGAGATGCTGACGAAGGCTGGCGGCCAGGGTCACAGCGAACTCGAGTCCAACTTCACGGTCTCGCAGAGCCAGACGCAGCAACGTAGCATCCAACAGCTGGACCACGCGGTCGACATCAAGGTCGAGAATTTCAGCATAGCGGCTAAGGGCAAGGAGCTCTTCACCAACGCCAGTCTTCTCATAGCGCAGGGCAGACGTTACGGTCTGGTGGGACCTAACGGGTACTTTTTATTGTGTTGGAAATATTATATTATATTGTAAAGAGAAATAGTAATAGAAATGAAAAAGAAATAGTTCTAAGAAAATATGTATTATATATATATATATATATGTAATATGTTTGACATTCAATTTTATTACAGTCATGGCAAAACTACTCTACTCCGCCACATAGCCAAAAGAGCCTTCAATATTCCAAGCACCATAGATGTTCTATATTGCGAGCAAGAAGTTGTAGCGGACGATACTCCTGCTGTGGAGGTAGTCCTGAAAGCTGATATTAAATGTACAGAACTTCAGGCAGAGTGTAAAAAGCTGGAGGAATTGACAGAGCAAGGGGATACTACTGTGCAAAGCAGATTGCAGGAGGTTGCTATCATATTTTTATAAATCTTTAATGTCGGAAAATAATCATAAGATAAAAAATAGTATAATTTCTGTTTATACGTATCTCTATCAGAATTTTCTTTTTTAAATTCTGTTTCTTCTAAATAAACTTTGGAACTGTGAAAAAAAAAATATATATATATTTATATATAAATGATATTTTCAGGTTTATGAAGAATTGAAAGCCATTGGTGCCGACTCAGCGGAGCCACGAGCCAGGCGGATTCTTGCTGGTTTGGGATTCAATCGCGCGATGCAAAATCGGGCGACAAAGAACTTCTCCGGTGGCTGGCGAATGCGCGTTTCGCTTGCCAGAGCACTCTTCCTGGAACCCACATTATTATTGCTAGACGAACCTACGAATCATTTGGATCTAAACGCAGTAATCTGGCTAGATAATTATCTGCAAGGCTGGAAGAAGACTCTTCTTGTTGTATCACACGACCAGAGCTTTTTAGACAATGTGTGTACAGATGTGATACATCTGGACCAGCAAAAGTTGTTCTATTACAAGGGAAATTATAGCATGTTTAAAAAGATGTATGTACAAAAGAGAAAAGAGATGATAAAAGCATACGAAAAGCAAGAGAAGCGATTGAAGGATCTTAAGGCAGCCGGTCAGAGTAAGAAGCAAGCTGAAAAGAAACAAAAAGAAGCTCTCACTAGGAAACAGGAGAAAAACAGAACAAAAATGCAGAAGCAAGAAGAGGAAACTGGACCTACAGAATTGTTGCAGAAACCAAGGGAATATATAGTAAAATTCAGTTTTCCAGATCCACCACCACTTCAACCTCCAATTCTTGGTCTTCAAAGTATGTAACTAGCTCTTCATAATTATCATTAAATTACATTTGTAATAAATTAATAAGAAAAAGTTTGCACATGCACGACAGAGAAAGAAATAGATCAAACATTTGTATAAAAATTCAAATTTAATTATTGGAATACTAATTTTATTTTTTGCAGGTATAACTTTTGCATATGAAGGACAGAAACCCTTATTCATCGATGCAGATTTCGGTATAGATTTAAATTCTCGGGTAGCTATAGTGGGCCCCAATGGTGTTGGCAAGTCTACCTTCTTAAAATTACTAATGGGCGATATAACATCTCAGAAGGGAGAAATTACAAAGAATCATCGATTGGTAAGTGTAGAAAAACATACGAATTATAAATCATTCTTTTTCTTCAATTTTTATTTGTGTGATAAACTCAACTTTTTAATGCGAAGGCATGGAGTATAATTTTTCTTAATTTTTTACATCTCGATATTTTTCAAACATTATTCTAGATTATTTTATTCTTTGCAGAGGATAGGAAGGTTCGACCAGCACTCAGGTGAACACCTGACCGCAGAAGAGACTCCAGCGGAGTACTTGATGCGATTATTTGATCTTCCGTATGAAAAGGCACGCAAACAGCTAGGTACTTTTGGTCTTAGCTCTCATGCGCACACGATCAAGATGAAAGATCTATCAGGCGGTCAAAAAGCACGTGTCGCAATGGCTGAGCTCTGTTTAAACGCGCCAGACGTGCTGATCTTAGACGAACCGACCAACAACCTTGACATAGAATCCATTGACGCACTGGCCGACGCTATAAACGAATATAAAGGTGGCGTCATCATCGTCTCGCACGACGAACGACTAATTCGAGATACGGAGTGCTGTCTGTACGTGATTGAAAACCAGCAGATCAATGGTATAGACGGCGACTTCGACGATTACAGGAAAGAATTGCTCGAGAGCCTGGGAGAAGTTATCAATAATCCCAGTATAGCCGCAAACGCTGCGGTTCTACAATAATCGTCAGCTAATTAGTAAGATATCTTATTGGTGATGCAAAAACGATCGCTGAATCGCGACCGAAGCCTTGGTAAGGACATTTGTCCATCCTAAAACCGCTAGAAACGAATTTTGTATTATATAAATATATTAATCATGCAAATTTCAAATTAAATCTTTGAAAACATGAAGCTTGTATCAGCTGACTGTTTTCATTTACTCATTTTGTGTTGATCAATTAACGATAATTAATATTGACATAATGCTTGATTATATTTTCTTGTTATCTAGCACACATAAGAAAAGAAGGGGATTATAAATTCGTAAAAGTTTTATTTTGAAATAAATTAATAATATTATAGAAAAATTATTATTCCAACAAAGATCTCGAAAACTAATCATAAAAATTATATCTAGCAGAACGATATGTGACTTAATATATATTTATGCAAAACATTTTATTAAAAAAAATATATATATATATATATAATTTATATATTTTAAAGAAAGAAATATAAGAGGTATAACAGGAAAATATATATTAAAAATATAACATGAAAAAATGCAATTTAAAAAGATAATAGGAAATAAATTGTTTTATTAAATTTGAAAGTATAACTTTTATAATATTAAAAAAAGTAATGCTTTTATCTATTCTATCGTCAAATATTTTGCTAGTTTTAATTTTTTCATGTGAATATCGAATTATATATTCGATGAAATGTCAATATATTATAAAATATAGTAAAAAAATTACATAATTTATAATATGTATTTTATTTAAAAATTGGTTAGAGCATAGATATACATATATGTGCAGATAAGCTTTAAATTTAGTTTTTTTATGAATGACAGGAAACAAGTCTTTATAAATGCTTCGATTGGTGGACAAATTACAAGTCTACACTTCGTTAGCCAATCAGGATGCAGAACTTTTCGCTTCGATTAGTCGATGTTTTCAGCTCGAGATGGACTGCACGTTAGGTAAAGATAAAATAATCTATGTTCTTTTTCTATGTCTATGTTCTGTATGTTATCTATGTTAATTTATTATTGTTATCATCGTTTATTATGTGTGTTTATAACAGTCAAGGTATTATATGGATTATCGAAATTAATTTCCTGTAGCTCGAAAAGAGAGAGAGAATTCTAACATCTGTTAAATTTTTCACATTTTAATACATAATTTGCGATTGAGAGTCCTTCAATCGCTTTGATACCTGACAGTAAAATCATGGTAGGTACTTTCCGACATAAAAACATGTAAAGTTACATGTGAATTATTTGGAATATTTTACGCATGCGAACTCGTCAATATTTATCATAAAATGTCAGATTTGTATATCGTATCGTTTTATTATATATGTCAATCTCGGGTCAAATTATCAACGGATCCGCTTTTGCATATGCGGAATCGTTTTATTCATATATTCAAGTTTTTTCTTGCTGACATGAATAAGGCTCCGACAAAAGTAAAATTTATATCGAGAAAAATTTGTAACCTTAAGTTACATAGATACTACATCTATTTAGATATAGTATGATATATACAAGTATATTTTAAATAATAAATATTTATGTCTAAATAGTAAAAAAAAATTTGGATATAAATTAATAAAATATATATAATATATATATATATATATATATATATATATATATATAATAACAGTATATTTTTTGTATCATGATAATCTGTCGTCAAACATTTTTGTGCATAATATTAAATTTATTGGAAATTTGCAGCATCCTGGCGTAGGAAGAGAGCCTGGGATATGCAACCTAAAAAAATAACCTAAAACAACGCTCCTGAAAGGAAAACCGCTTCTCGAAGCGTCGACGCGCATTGAGTACGCGCCTAGGCATTTTTCCCTGCGCCTTTCCTTCATCGCTCTCTTGCCCCCCGCCTGCGTCGATACCACCAACGACGCCTACTTGGGTACCGGAGTAGATAGGTAGGTTGAAGCAACAGGCCGACACACGCGCTTGGCTCGGCGCTTCGGGGCGAGATCCGACACCGCGCATCATCAAGAGCTTTTTCCCGATTGGTGATTCGCGGCCGAGAGCGTGGTTGCCAGTGCTTCACATCATTAACGCGTTGCAGGTTGCCAGATCTTCGTCGCCGTGCCAGTCCCAGCACAGTCAACGTAACGCGACGGTGTACTCGGAGTCGGAGCAAACCAGTCTTCATCGGTCATCGCTCAAAGGAGACCGGACCGGAGTTGTCGCACGATCGAGAAGAGGACGGACGACTCCTTTCGTCGGCTCGCCAGCACGACGTCTTGGTCTCCGCACCATCTTCGAGGAACGCGACTTCCTCGCCCCGAAGTGCTTCAATGTCCGAGCATCCGGTCGTGATGCCGCGAGTCCCAGCGTATCACCGTTTCGCCGACTTATCGTACCGTCGTCGTCGTCTTCCTCTTCGTCGCTGATGCCGTCATCGTCATCGTCATCGTCATTGTTAACATCGTAGTGACGTATCTCGAGAAAACTGAAGCGAATGTGAGTGTAATTTCTGTCTTTCTATCGAATGTGCGCACCAACGAAGTTGTACGGGGAGAGGCTGCCCGGATACGTCTTCGTCTCGGCGACGATATCACCGATACGTGTGTTATCGTTCAAGTGCTAGCGTCCTAGAGCGTCGCTGGTGAATGCAAGACGGAATCTTTGGAGCTTCGAGATAGAAAGAGAGAAAGAGAGAGAGAGAGAGAGAGAAAGAACACTCTTCCCCACCTCTCCATCTCTCTTTCTCTTTTTTCTCAGGTCGTGTTTCCTGTGCTCTCGCGCTCGTCACGAGTCTACGCAGGTAGGGCGAGCCGATACGAGTCGGTAGAGGTGGGAGAGACGACGAGAAGAGCGATTCCCGCAGTCTCAATCGGTGTAGGCCACCCGTAACATACGGAGATCGGGAAGCGCGATTGAAGAGAGCGGCGAGAGCAGAGGAGGAGAAGGCGGCGAGGGATTATTCCCATCGGTATCGCGGGGAACGCTGCTGGTACCCAGCAGCGGTGACGGCGACGACGACGGCGTTTTCCCGATTGTTTCATTCCGCCGTGGCGAAACGCGGAGGACAGGTGGAAGCGAAGAAGAGGAGGAAGAAGCCAACGGCGTCGTCCCGTGGGAACGAGACGGTCGCGAAGGAGAGAAAGGGAAGGTGAGAGAAAACGAGAACGAAGGAGAGGTCTGGCTGCGTCGTACGTGATACACGCGAGATATAGGTAGCCGTGCCGTGAAAGAAGGCAAGTGGAGAACGGATAGACGCAGAAAGAGTTACGAGGACGAGGAAGGAGAGACAAGGACGCCAGGGGTCCACTGATACATAAGCCAGAGGAAGAGGGAACGCGCGAGCGAGCGAACGAACGTGTGATCCAAAATGGCGCTCAACCAAGACGTGGACCAGTTGAAGAGTAATCTCGTCGTCAGGGTGGACCAGAACTCCGAGTCCGATCTTCAGGCTCTATTCGACACCGTCCTCAAGCCCGACTCCAAGCGACCGCTACAGGTGCCGTTGCGCATGCGCAATCTACCGGATTCCTTCTTCAATCCACCGTCCACCGGCAGCAAGAGTCCCTCGATCTCGCACTCGCGCGAGAACTCCGCGGATTCCGCGTTCGGGACCGCGGTGGCCGCGACGCCGAGCAGCGGCGGCGCGCCCAACGTAAGTGCCAACGGAAGCGGAAGCGGTGGCGGTGGTACCGGCACAGGTGCCGGCGGCGGAGGCGCGGGCGGCGGCGGTGGCGCCGGTGGCGGCGGAGCCGCGAATAGCGCAGGTGCGGTCGCGGCCGCGGCCGCCGTAGCCGCGGCCGCCGCTGCGGCCGGCCTCACCGTTGCGCATCCCCGCGCTCACAGCAGCCCGGCCTCCCTGCAACAGACGTACGCCTCGGGGCCACAGGCGCCCCAACACGCGCCGCAGCCGCACGCGCGTCACCATCATCATCAGAAGCAGCGCAGCTACGACGTCATCAGCACGGTCGACGACCTGGGCCCGTTGCCGCACGGATGGGAGCAGGCACGCACCTCCGAGGGCCAGATCTACTTCCTCAAGTGAGTGACTCTCTCGAGCTTGTTTCTTTGCCGATGAGGGAGAGGAACGAGATGAGATGCGGGATTTGGTACCGATCCCTCTTTTTTTCTTTCCTCCCCCGATCGAACATTTTATCATTTTATGCATTTACCAGTGCCTTTGGATGTACACTTTTATCTTGTTCGTACGGTTCGTATGTTATAGTTGTTTCGTTGCCAGATTTCTGTTCTCACTAATAGGAATTCAGTTATTGTGACATTAGAAGCGAGAAATCATGTTTACTCTTCTCTTGCGTTATATATCGAAATAAATTAATTGTACCGTATCTTATCACTATACCGTATTTGATAATATAGATTGATGAGATATATCGAGTTTCTCTTTTCGAAATATGTATATAATTAAGGGAGCAGTAGGAACTCGATTAATTGGAAAGCTGTTTTATTATAAAGTCTATACTTGCTATAAATATAAAATATATACAAATTGAGTTATATATGTTACTGATATATATGTTACCATTTCCCTAACATAAAATAATGAAGAAATAAGTTTTTTCAATATGTTATCGATTTATTGTATATAATCGAATAGTAGCAAATAGTATAAAAAAACTAATTTATTTCTATGTATTTCGTAAAAGAAAAATTCACACGATTTCTCATTTTTAATATCATAATATCGTAATTTCGACTGCAGAAATCCTAAGAATTCTAAAAGCTAGATAATTCATACATACCATATTTATTATAAATTTAGAATTGTGTGCAATATTTTTTTACTGATTCTTATAAATATATTGAGACTATAATTTTATTATTTATATACGTAAAGATTTTGAAATCGTAAACTTATATTTAAAAAAGAATTATGATTTGAAACCTATACGTAGAAAAGATTTTCTCTTAGAATTTACCCTGAAAATCATGATAATCATGTGGAAGAATTTTAGTTTTTCTGATTAATATTTACACCACAATAAAAAATATTAATATCCACAATAATGTTCGATTAATTTTACCACGTGCATATTGATATTTTTTATTATAAATAATATTAATCAGAGAAACATAAAATTCCTCCAATACTATTTTGTCCCACTATTACCGCATGATTTTCAGGATAAATTCTAAGAGAAAATTCTCACCGTGTAGGGAAACAACAGACTCCAAGAGTCTTTCTAATCATCTAATCGAACCTCTTATCAGATTAATCTATTTGAACGAAATAATCTTAAAATGTAAATATACGAAGTACATAGAAAATATGCGGTGCGTACGTGAGATCAAGACAGTGGAGGACAGTAAAACAGTTTTGTTTTTCTAAAATTGAGCACATTTCACGCTATACGCGTCGCTATGGTTCATTAGAGAACGGTAGTTTTGCGACTCATCGCCGTCGGTAATTTTCACCGCATAGAAGTCCCGCATACCTCAAGGCCGACACCGTCTTTATCGCGGCAACTCGCTCATCTTCTCTCTGTTCCTCCTTGCTCGTTGGCTCCCCTCCGTTGGTCCCCATCACTTCTCATCACGGTCGGCGAGGGAAGAAAGATGCGTTCTCTCGGTTCATCTCCGTTAAGCTACTCTTCGTGATGCTGCTAGCATCTCTTGCCCTCGGAACTGAATTCGCGCGTCACGATGCTCGACAGTAAACACAGTCGATGCAAATGTACTAATTAACATATTCGACGGAAAGAGACGTCATTGTTAATAGAAAAGTTCTAGGATTTTTTTACAAAAAATTTGCTACATTTATTTATATATCTTTTTCATCGAACGGGCGAAAGTTTCTTTAGAATTGGATCTGTGTATAAAAAAGGTAATTTTTGGGAATACGTGTAAAGAACTAAGAATGGCACATTTTACTTTAATGAAAATATCGATGAAAATCATTATCACATCTGAAAGCTTCTTTCTTTTCTATTCTTTCAAATGGAAAATGGTACATGGAAAAATTAAAACTCATATTAAGAACTCAACTGAAACTGATGAACTCTCTCTGGCAAAGATCTCGCTTAGATTTCGAAAATGCGAGAATCAGTATTTTCCTAGAGAAAGAAAAATCTAAGCTCATAGAATTTTAAGGTAATACTTTAAAGCAACCTTTATGTGCCCTATCTCTCGTAACGCCGATTATCGTTAGAAATAAATTTCGAGACGCTGTTACACGGGACCTGATGAGAAAATCCTTAGACTTGTTCCTGGAACATGTTCCCTTCTTTCCGATGCTTCTGAGGGATATGCGTGGGGTCTCCCACCATGCATCTTAACTTCTCTACCTGCTTCACCTGCGTCACTGCCGGGATTATCACGTGTCACCTGTCGTGAGAGACTCCTTTGTCGCTCGTTTCGATCCTTGAACGAACCTGCCGATGTGGCTCACGATTAGACTAATTTTTCTAAATATTTTCTTCAAAGTTTTATTTTATCTGCTGACATCGCGACATCAAATTGAACACCTTATAGCATTTTTTGTAGCATACATCTCTGCTTTTTTTATTATTCAAGTACAGAGTTTGGCTATTAAAATATATTGTTAAGTTCTTGACATTTTCACAACTGCATTTGAAAGATATTTCTTTTAATATATACAATTCTATTTAAAAAATGTACATTTGAAAAATCATATTAAATAGAGAAATAAAAATTACACAGTTTTTGTTATAATGGTATATATGATATATTTTTCAGCTTTTTCGGTACTCGCGATATAATAAGATTAATTATATTTAACTTTTTCGATTTCTCTTCAAGTTTAAAAAGAATTAATCGGAAAAAATATCGATGCTTTGTCGTCGTAAATTTTTCTTTTTCAGGGAGAAATATCTATTTTAATTTATCATTAGAATATCGGTTATTAACATTAAAATTTTGAATTATTCTACATTCTTAGTGAAATCAAAGTAATTTATGATGACATTTGGGAATGCGTTTTTATTAATCACGATATTTTAGTTAAAATTTGCATTTTCGATTTGTTACCGTCTTTTTGAACTAAATCCTAATAGTTTTGTACCTTTCTTGTCTAACTTCTTCTTCTGTATCTTTCTTTCTTTTTCTGTATCTTGAATTTTTGTACAAGGGTATTCTTGAGAAGAAAAATGCTTTTCTCCATCTAATCTTTTTACCCAACATTTACCTGAGCAGTTTCCATTTAAATGTACAACCTTTGTGTTGCTACCTGCTCTGAAATCATAACAACGGTCACGTAGAGGTTTCATTTCTGAAGAATACTTTTCACGTTTCTACGTGTTTGAGAGAACACAAAGCGGCGTATACATCTTTGATCTTCTTGCAAAATTATATCTATATATATAATTTTAATCTTTTAATTCTCTTATCGTTTGCTTTATTCATCGAAGATCATTTGTCATAAACTTTTGTATAAATTCTAGGTGTAGTGTGTAGCTTCTCTTAAAATTATTGAAGTTATAACATAAACATAGTCAGATTTATATATATATATAAAATCAAGTATTTCGAAAATCCGTGTTTTTAATGAACCGCGCCAAGTGGCTATTCGTACAGAGAGACTAGATAGACGAGATGTCTATCTCGGATATCGCCCTGAATATCTTAAAATCCATTAACAATAGACAAGATATCCTTGAGACACGAGGTAATTTAGATAATAGCTTAATTACGCTTTAATAACGCGCTTCGTTTCTACATATCGAGATTTACTTTCCTGTAGCGTTATTGGAAGGTCGACAGGAAATAGTGATTCGAACAGATAAAATAAAGCACTTCTACGAAAGCAGTCGTCTAAATGCATTCGTTATACGATGTGCTACGATTATTTTTCTTAACACATTTTGGGAACCATCTCTTTAACGATTTTGCAGAAGAGATTAGTTTTCTTCGCGAAAGTATCAGCAAATTATTCTTAATAAATAATACGCACACTTAAAGGATCATTAGAAACAAATCATTTGCATGAAGAGAATGGAAAGGCTCTTCGATGTGCATCGCATCGGAATTCTCTACCGCATGTTACGCCATCAAATTTTCTTGCGCTACACAAATTTATGCGCGAATCGAAAGCGCCGTTTCACGTTTATTCGTTTTACCCGAACGTAAAAATGTACGGAGGGAGGTACTTGCCTCCCACTCCGGGATTGATAATAATTAATGATTGATCTTGCTATATCGATATTTTCGCTGCTACATGTATCTACTCTTATCAGAACCGAGTTAAGGATCTTTTTGTCACGAACCGCGCAAATGAATCCTTCAATCTCGACGATACGACGCGAATAATTTCTCGTCATCGTCGATTTTTAAAGATTGACGCATCCATTCTTTCAAACGTGCATATCATATCGATTTATTAATCGTAATAAATTTTCGACATATCTCTGCGACGATAGCAAGCGGTTTTTTTTTACGTACTGCGCAGTTTTTTTCGCAGGAAAGGAGATTGAAATTAATCTTCGATTTTTGCGAAAACGCAGAAGATCGCGTATACTTTTTTTCCATTAAAGTTCAGTTTTCAAACATATGCGCTCCATTTTCTACAGAACGTCGGCGAATTTTGCGGAAGCAGAGCACAGAGCTCATTTTTTTTCGGTAGGCGTAATACGAGGCGCAGCGAGCGTGAGCTTGTTGGTAAAGTGCACTGCAAAGTGCAGCCAAGCGAGTTGCACGCTCGCTAAATTACGCGGTAATGATCACCGCGGGAAAAGACCGTCTTTTCTTTCCTCGTAACAGTGTTACGCTGGCGATATTTGATATTAATGACAATATATATGCTATTCCGATGCCATGTACTCCAAAAAACCTTCGCTGCAACATTTCGCTACATTTGCAAAAATTAAGAGAGAGAAAGAGTAAATATTTTTAATATTATATTAATACCATATACTGTTGCTTATTATGCAACTATTGTTTATTACTACTATTGATAAATAGATCATAATCACAATCGTGATATCATCTGATCGCGAAAAAAATGTCTCTCTTATTGCACGTACTTGTCTCTTTGTGTATATCAACATTATCAATTCAGCTGGCACTTA